ATATATATATATACTGTATCCATATCTCTATATACTGTGTCATGTCCGTCAATATCTCTATATACTGTATCCAATTCTCTATATACTGTGTCATGTCCATATCTCTATATACTGTCATGTCCGTCCATATCTCTATATACTGTATCCATATCTCTATATACTGTCATGTTTGTCCGTGGCTCTGTATGCCGTGTCATACTGTGTTCTACTTTATTGACCAGAGCTGTGTGATGGGGCCCCATTGCAGTAGCATTGCGGGGGCCCCCTGCCTCTCATCCATAAGACTGATCCTCTAGGGATACAGAACGCTAATTGCTTTCATAAGTCATGTTCAGGATCCTGATTGATATGATGTGTCTTCATGGGTGAGAAGTGTCAGCCCAGCACCCTGAAATCTGCACAGGGTCAATGAGCCATAGTGTCCTTATCCATTGTACCCCATTGTCCTGACCTCCCAACCTGACAGCCGCCAGTGTTTACATCCTGGCCACACCGCCACATTACATCCCTATAGACTTCTAGGGGGCCTCTCCCTTCATCTCCGGCCCCATGGAGTAATGCAGGGCCCCATAGATTAATACACAACCAGGGTCAGGAAAGTGAGACTTCTTGCAGCGCCGAGTGTAAACAAGGAGGATGTGATTGCCGGATTGAGGTAAGTATGTTGTGGTGGTAGTTACATCAGGACAAAGGGGCTTGTTTACAGCATGTCCAGTGAGCTGTGTTGGTCCGCACACGTATGTGAGTAGTGCACACGCAGAACACTATTCTCTGTATTTCCCTTCACATCATTCATACATACATATGCAGCGGGTTACAGACGCACACAGCTCAATGGACATGGTGGGAACAAGCCCTTAAAGTGCATTTATCCTTTAGATCATTGCAGTTATCACATATTGTTTTGTTGTTGTAATTTTGGATAGCGTATTGGGGTCAGGTTTTTATTACAATGTCCCCTCTGGGTAGACTCTCCCACCATCACCACAACAGAAGGTGATTGGGAAATGCCAAGCTTTACAGTGGTCACCGGGACAGGAAGTGAGGGGATATCCTGCAATGTGCACTCCCATACTGCTTACAAAGAATAGTCCTAACTATTTCATACTTCCTATTGTGGGAAGAAAAATAGCCTGTGTGGCACTGAAATCCCAAGGAGTGTTCTCAGCCCTTCTGGGGTGTGTTCTGGGAGATCACCCCCTCCTAAGTTATGGAGATGAGAAAGGGGGGGGGGGGTTCTGTAATCCAAATCAGGTGACCGCAGGCTAGGGCAGTGGTGGAGGAATTATATTTCAGGATCCATCTGTCCAATCCAGGAACCGGCATGATTTTTTTAGAACCTGAAAAGTTAGGTGCTGGCTGTACTTTATAGGGAGCATTGGCGACCTGGCTCCGGGGATTTGTCCAGGCCTGATGTCATCATTGCTCTTCCCATATATAAGAAGCAGTGCTGTCATCATCCGTGCTGTCATGATCTGCCAGCAATTAGGCTGCATGCTTCAGTGGCTGTAGCGGGAAGCAGAGGCTTGTTATAAAGTCACGCTGTGCCTGGCGGGGGGGGCATTGACCCGGGCTGCTTAGTACTTCCTGCTGCCAATATCTTCTTTCTCTTACAGTACAGTGAGTGTGTGTTGTGACCCCAGGGCAGGAAACATGGTACTGGCAGGGACAAGGAAAATGATCCAGAACATTTAAGGATGTCTCACAATTGTTCCCCTTTTCAGAATGTCGTCAGGAGCCTTGTTTCCGAGTCTGGTGCCCGGATCCCGCGGGTCCTCCAGCAAGTATTTGGTGGAATTTCGGGCTGGGAAGATGTCCTTGAAGGGCAGCACCGTGACCCCCGACAAACGGAAGGGACTTGTGTACATCCAGCAGACTGATGACTCCCTGATCCACTTCTGCTGGAAGGACAGAACATCTGGGAATGTGGAGGATGTGAGTTCTCTGTATGGTGTGGGGGGGGGATCTTCTCCTGTCTATAGTCTCATTGTCTCCTATGAAAGGTTACTGGACCCAGGTGAGGGCGCTGTCATCCGCCAGCAATTAGGCTGCATGCTTCAGTGGCTGACTATAGCGGGAGGCAGAGGCTTGTTATAAAGTCACGCTGTGCCAGGCGGGGGGGCATTGACCCGGGCTGCATTGTACTTCCTGCTGCCAATATTTTCTTTCTCATACACCTAACAAGCTGTGATATTGACACTCGTGTTCTCTTACAGGATCTGATTATATTCCCCGACGACTGCGAGTTCAAGAGGGTGGCCCAGTGTACAACCGGGCGCGTGTACGTCCTCAAATTCAAGGCCGGCTCCAAGAGGCTGTTCTTCTGGATGCAGGTCTGTCCCTAGTTACCGTCCGACAGTAAACTTTAGTAGAAGATTGTGTGTGTGTGTGCGCCCCGGGCCTGTGTCACACTTCTCTTATCATAGCCAATTCTGTAATGAAACCTCCTCCTCCATGTATCAGATCTCTACCAGGAAAAGTCCCCCAAGATGCAACGGGAGCGTTCTCGGCTCATCTGCCA